TTTACCTATTAAGTTCTCTGTCTGATATTGGCATGGTTCATAGTGCCCCAGAACAATTACAGTAGTAACATCAATCACCATAATAGATATAATAATGAAAAGTTTTGAAATATTGTGAGAGTTATCAAAATATGACACAGAAACATGAAGAGTGAGGACAATCTGTTGGAAAAATGGCATCAATATAGTTGCTCAATGCAGGCTTGCCACAAACCTTTAGTATGTAAGATGACAACAACAACAACAACAAAATACAGTGTCTGCGAAGCTCAATAAAGTGAAACACGATAAAAAGAGTTGTGCCTGTACATTCTTACCCATATGCACAAACCAGTTTAAGACAGTCATTCCCTCACTTGCCTCTTTATAACATTTATAAATATATATAGTAATTATTTTCATATCTGTCTCTACCTGTGCACTATCACTTAGCTGTGGTTTCCCTTGGATCTAAGAATGGGACGAAATATCTATTCATTTTTATATGCACTGCAAGTAGCCCAGAATTAAGAGAAACTATGTATTTTGTTTATTGGATTCTTACTATGTCTCAAATACTGTTCTAGGTGGTTTATATATTCTTTGTTAAATCATTTTTGCTTTACAAAAGCCTTTAATGTTAGTACTTTTATTAATCATTTGACTAATGGGGAAAATGAGTTAATTTACTTGCCCAAAGATATACAGTTAACTAAGTGGCAGGGCTAGATTTGGAGCTTGAACAATTTACCCTTGTCACAGGACTGCTCTTAACCATTATGGTAGTGTTCTCAACCTGGGTTGATTTTGACCCAGGAGACATTTGGCAATGTCTGGAAACAATTTTGGTTGACTCTACTCAGCGGTTGGAGGTATTCTAGCATGTGACGGTCTACGTAGACCCAAGCATGCTGCTTAACATCCTACAATACACACCACAGACTCCACAATAAAGAATGATCCGTCTAAAATGTTAATAGTGCTGAGGTTGAGAAACTTTGTGCTATAGTCTAGTGCCTCAAGTAGGTTTCACTGTTAACAGTATTTCTCAAACTCTGTTAGACCGGTTTTGTTTTTTATTTCTAATCAGTCATAACTGATAATTTTGTAAAATGCAATTAAAAATCAATTATAGTCAAACTGCCTTGTGGTATAATACCAGGAGTGAACTCCGATGTAAACAATAAATTTTGGGTAATACGATGTGTCAACAATTACAACAAATGTACCACTTTGGTGTGTGATGTTAATACTAGAGCTTGCAGGGGATATGGGGGAGGGCAGGGATTATATAAGAAGTTTCTGTATGTTTTGCTCAATTTTCTGTATATCTAAAACTGTTCTGAAAAAAGTCTATTTTTAAAGAAATAGTAATTACTAGAAAATGATATGGCAAAGACAAGGCTAATTATTTTATGATTAGGTTCAATGTGCATAAAATTACTCTATCAAATTGCTGTAAAAATTTCTAAATGATTACCTTCAATTTCCACACTTGAAAGGATTATGGCAAACAGTTTGAATGAGATTTGGAGTAGCACTAAATTACATGTTATTTTAATAAAGAATATCAAGAAGAAAATGATTAATGGAACGAAACTATAAATAAGTGCCAAATGAGAGAGAGCATAAGAGCCACAGACTTAGAGAGAAATGAAGTAGAATAGTTAGGAAGATTTTGAGAAGGAGGTGGCTCATGATCTGAGAGGGTGGGCAGAGATGGGAGAGAGCTGCTCAGGTAGAAGGTACAGTATATGTTTGGGAGGCAGAATTGCTCAAAGTGTGTTCAGGAAATCATCAACTCTAGCTAGAGAGGGAGATTTGATTAAGAAGTAGTAGGAGAGAACTATGAAAAGGTAGGCAGAGTTAGGTTGTTAAGAACTAAAAATGGCATGGTAAAGAGTTTGACTGTTACACAGAACATATAGGGGTACATTTTTTACTCACTTAATTTGTTCCAAAATTTGGGATTGGGAGGGATTAGGCAGAGCTTGCTCATGTCTTGTCCACACAGTGTGGGCTGCAACATATTGACTTAGGTACATGTACCAGACTGGCAAGTTGGTGCTGGCTGTTGGCTGGGAGCTCAGCTAAGACCTTCCTGGGGTTTCAAGTCCTCTCAGTGTTGGCATCCCTCATACGGCTATGGCTTGGTTACAAAAGCAAGTGTTGTCTGGGCTCGGTGGCTCACGCCTGTAATCTCAGCACTTTGGGAGGCCGAGGCAGGAGAATCACTTGAGGTCAGGAGTTCGAGACCGGCCTGACCAACATGGTGAAACCCCATCTCTACTAAAAATACAAAAAATTAGCTGGGCGTACTGGCGGGTGCCTGTAATCCCAGCTACTTGGAAGGCTGCGGCAGGAGAATCGCTTGAACCTGGGAGGCAGAGGTTGCAGCAGTAAGCTGAGATCCAGCCCAAGCAACAGTGCAAGACTGTCTCAAAAAAAAAAAAAAAAAAAAAGGAAGTGTTTCTAAGCAAGAGGAAGTCAAAGTTGCCAGTCTCTTCATGTCTAAACCAGTAAGCTAGAACAGAATCACTTCTACTATATTCTGCTGCTCAAACAGCTTCAGAGTCTGCCGAGATTTAAGACATGGGGACATAACACCTTACTTCTCATTAACAGTCGTAAGAAGGAATGGGTACCATTTTTAATCTAAAATCTCAGCTGTCACTTGCCCTTTCACTAGATGCTTTTATTCAGTGAATAACTTGAACTGCTGTACATGTCAGCCCTTCCAGGAGAGATCTACAAGTGAAATTCTGTCATGTGGATGGGTTTTTAAGTAGGGGAGGTATAAGGGTGTAGATGTAAAGTTGAGGAAAGTAGGCATTTTAGAAACTGAACACAAGATAGAGAATGAGTGTTTGGTAAGGTATCACATTGTTCAAGAGCACGGTAAAGTGATATTTTGACTTCTACTGCTTTTTGTAACTGGTCTGATATGTGGTTGCTAAATGTAGTTTGTGATGTTTCTGTTAATTCTTTCCCACTTTTTATTTCCAGTCTTCGGGGGAAGGGAGCTTGAAGCTTTTAACATTTGAAAGAATAGATTTATCCAGAGTACCTACTTTATTGTCTCTCTCTAAATCCACAGGTATATTTAAATTGTATCAGTATGATAATTCTGAATGTTTAGAAAAGGAATGATGAATAATTTATCTGTATATCTAGCTATGGCTAATATGTGTATGTATTTGTATGTGTATATATATATATTTTCTAGGCATATATAGCTAATATGTGCATATACATATTTCCTTGTATACTGCACCTAACTTCTATCCACTTCTTATGGTGTAATGCAAGAATGAGTATCTCATCCTTCTGTTCCTTTTATCAGAAATGAGTTTGGTAATAAAAGAGGGAAAATTACTCTAAATTTTATCAAATCCCCATTTCCAATCCCATGTCTGTTTTGTAATTTGTGGGAGGGCAGGGTAATCAGTACATTTCTGTACTCTTGTTAAAATGCACATAGCCCAGATAGGATTGCAGTTTAAATTCTTAGTAGTGTCAGACTAACACATGAATTTCCACATAGATTGATGGTATAATCCTAAAAAGTGTCTCCTTCCATTTTTGGCAAAAATTGAGTAATGTTAAATTTATTACTTAAAATAACAAGACCTAGGTTTTACTCCTTGAACTGACATTATCTGTGACCACTTTATATTTCTATTTCCATGGACTTAAACATTGAGAGGATGTTATCATACGATAGAGTATAAAATAAAGAGATACAAAAGCATTTTTAAATGATTTTCTAAAATCCGTACAAATGGAAGTTAATTTCTAGGAATGAAATTGAATTAGATATCCTTATTCTGATAAGAGTGAAAATTATTTGTTTTAAAATGTGTTTGTTTAAAAGCATACAACACTATCGCCAAACTTTTATTATGATTTTTCTTTAAAAAAAAAAAGAGAATGTGGAACATTTATAGGTAAGATTTTTAAACAAAACATTGTGCAAGGCTTTAGCTTTTTTTGTATTTTCATCTTTACAGATTTTTTTTTTTTGAAGCACTGTGTTTAGATCAAGATGTCTGGTAAAGCAAATGCTTCCAAGAAAAACTTTGAACAGTTAAAAAGAAATCCAAAGAGAAAAAAGGATAATGAGGAAATTGTGTTGTCAGAGAAAAAGGTAATGAAAATATCAAGTTTCTCATTTAGAAATCTTCGACTAGGGCCGGGCACTGTGGCTCATGCCTGTAATCCCAGCACTTTGAGAGGCCAAGGTGGGTGGATCACGAGGTCAGGAGATTGAAACCATCCTGGTTAACATGGTGAAATCCTGTCTCTACTTAAAAAAAAAA